CGAGAGATAGGTTATGATGGTGCGGATTAGATTGATCTGGCTCAGGATAGGGACCAGTGGAGGGCTCTTGGGTACACTGTAATGAACCTTCGGGTTCCATAAAATTTTGGGAAATTCTTGAGTAGCTGCAGAATTGGCAGCAACTCAAGAAGGGCTCAGCTCCATGAGTGAGTAATTAAGCATAGCAGACTGATTAATGAGCTGGAGCTGAGTCCTTCAGAAGGCACCAGTTGCACAGTGACTCAAGAATTTCCCAAAATTTTATGGAACCCGAAGGTTCATTACAGTGTTCAGATAACGAGCCCTACACTGGTCCCTGTCCTGAGCCAAATCAAGTCCATACCAGCCCATCTTATCTCTCTAAGTTCCCTTTTAATATTATCTACCCACTTATATCTTGGTCTTCCTAGTGGTCTCTTTAATTTTGACTTTCCCACCAATCTTCTATATGGATTCGTCTTCTCCCCAATTGTGCTCCATGGCCTGCCCATCTCATCTTCCTTCACTTGATTATTCTAATTATACTTGGCAAATTATGCAGTTTTCTCCAGCCTCCCGTCACTTCACCTTCGGTCCAAATATTCTCCTCAGCGCCATCTTCTTAAACACATTCAGGCTGCATATCTCCCTTAATGTCAGAGACCATGTTTTATACCCATGCAAAACCTCAGACAGAGTTGTAATTTTGTATATTTTAATTTTTACGTTTGTAGACTGCAGATGGACTGCCTCTGTGGTCTAGTGGCCAGAGTTCCGGGCTACAGATCCAGATGTCCTGGCTTCAATTCTCGGCGCTACCAGGTTTTTCTGAGAAGTAGTGGGTCTGGAACAGGGTCCACTCAGCCTCGGTAGGGTAATTGAGGAGCTACTTGAATGGAAAATTAACAGCTCCAGTCTAGAAAACCGAAATTAACGGCCATGGGGATTTGTTGCGCAGAGCATGCGACACCCTCTATCAGCTGAAGTTGGCACTAACTTTGCTGACAAGCAGCAGTCTTTCGGTTGGTATAGTTATAGACTAAAGCCACAGAGTTTTTTTTATGACCTTCAGATGAGAAGACAGGTTTTGGATTGAATGATAGCAAACAATACCCAAATTCAGCCTCCTCCTTAATTTCCTGGTGAATCAAATTTTGATTTGTTAGTATCATTCCCAAATTTTCTCCTGCAGTCTGGTGACAACACATCAACATGTACTTAGATTTCTATTTCTAGACCATTGTCCTCACTGTCAATTACAGTCTCAGTTATTTTTCATTATGGTATCTATGTTGTCTCCCAATAGATTCGCATCATCAGCATTGACCAGCAGTTTATGTGTCCCATTTAATTTCAATCCCAGCAGGTTTTCCTGGACTTTCTAATGGCATATTCTAAAGCAATGTCATTAAAGCTTCTCCTTGTTTTAGACCATTTTGGATAGGAAATGTGTCAAATAAACTTAACTCCATTCTGGTCCGGCACACTAGTAAACTAAATTATAGAATAATTGTTAACCCTTTCCAGTGTGATTAGAAATGGAAGTTTACAGAAAACCAACAGTGACTGACTGATGAACAACTCCTTATGTGTCCCTCAACAAAAGTAACAAAACGAATTAACTGAACATTATAATAAACATAGGACTAAATACTGGATATGAGAAGAATGACAATTTGAACTTGTATATTGACTAAAATATCAGCAGAATAGTCAGGGAAATAACACCAAAACTGAGCAAAAATGGGTTACATTCATCTACACAGGAAACTATAAAATTACAAAGTTATTTAAGGTTGCTAACTTAAAGGTAGCATTTAAAATAACCGCTATCGCAGGCAAACTAGTAAGATAGGTGCACAGTGAATACATATGAGCAAAGAGGCATGTAAAAAATGACCTGCCAGAGCTGTGATATTGGGCAAACAGGCCAAAACTTAACGAGATACAAGGAACACATAAGAAACATGAGGTTTAAAAAGAAGAATCAACTGTTGCCCAGCACATTTAGGCAGCGGTCACCAATACAGGCCTATGCTACAAAAAGCAATATCATGAATATAAAGCTTCACATCATGTGTTGTTCAGATTATCCCTATTTATTTGGCTTGTTTCCTTTGCTCTAATAGTTTTGAACATCCTCTGTTGAACCATGACTTGTGCTTCAATTTGTAATAACCTGTACTATATTTGGCTGAAATTTTTATATTGTCTTTAGTAGTTTCCCGAGATTGAACCTCTTCATGTGAAATTTGTGTGTTTTATGTTTGCTCACTGTCAGTCTGTCCCTAAGTTTTGCCACCACCAGATAGTGGTTGGTATCACAGTCTGCTGCCCTGTAAGATCAGACATCTAGTACACTTGAATGCCATCTTGTGTCTATCAACTTTTGGCAGTCGTATTTTTGATGTGGCAAAGTATACTGCTCTAACCCCATTATTGTTATTAATTTTATGTGAACTCCCATTCCCAGTTGTTGATTAGAAAATAGCTTACCTACCTGCTTTGGCGGGGGCACACGGTAGCGTAGTTGGTTGGGACACTATGCTACAAGCTGGAAGGGTCAAGTCCTGATAAGGTAATTGAATTTTTTTCAATTGACCTAATCCTTCCAACCGCACTATACCCCTGAGGTTGACTCAGCCTCTAACAGAAATGAGTACCAGGAATTAATTAAATAATTTTCCTGGGGAGTAAAGCGCGGCCAGCACATAAGGCTGACAACCTTGCCGCCATCTTCGAGCTGATTGTCTAGATAATGTGGGACCCTCAACGTCTCACAACCCTATGGGCCTTGACGGCCTGTTACAGGGATAGCTGTACTTTACTTTACTTTTTACCTGCTTTGGCATTGAAGTCTCCTAACAGAATTTTCATATGGTTCTTAGGGAATTTATCGAACACATGTTCAGTCTTTCATATTGCAGTGGGTAGACCTGTTTCTAGGTAACAGTCTGCATGCAACAGCAAAACTGTTGGAAATTGGGTTTTCTACAGTGGTTCTTACTAAGGAATTATAAAGAGGACAACTGAAGTAAGAGTTCATAGTTGTAAGGGAGCTGCGATTCAGAGATGACCTAAGCATGGAAGCAGAGGGATAGCTATCGTTGAAGCCATTACCAGACAACTGCTAGTGAAGACACTGCAGTCATATGCTCTAGTGATTTTTAAAGTGTGGAGATCCGCGATGGTGCTGGTTGTGATCGACTTTTTAGTGTCAAAACTGCCAGTGATTACCACCCCCTCCTATCATTGTACCTCACTTTAAGCAAAAATATTGGTAAAAATAACACGACTCATGATGTTTGTTGTAAAAGCAACACACATGTACATTGAAAGTAGAGACTCGTTTGTTAGTGAGACGTCTGGGCCTGCATTTCATCCACCAGCTGTTGGAAGTCAGATGAGTATTGGGTGAGGGCCAGTTTCAGGCAGTCCTGTAGATGTTCATGTGTCATGTTGGAACGTTGTTTACTCTGTCATTTTTAGGTAAGAAAACGCAGATTCACACAAATGAGTTGAACCGAAACGGGAGTGCACAATTACACTGCATCTAAGTTTTTGGAAATTTGTGTCTAAACGCTAACTTCCAAAACGATTTTTGACCAGCACAAGTCTTGAGAAAAATGTCATTTTTGAGGCTTAATATCTAATTTTCAAGAGATGCCTTGCTCAATGGATAATTTTCACAGATAGTAGCTGCAGTTTCTTTATTGTTTTAATTAATTTGAATGGGAATGACAAGTACTCTACAACTGTTCTAATTTTTTGGAAGTCACAGAATCTGTTTCCAAAATCTTGGATAACGGAACAGATTTCAGTTACGTACTTTTCTGTCTGAAAAAGAAAATAGGATATTTTTCCGGATTGTCCTGCATATTAGGAAAGTGATCAAAAGTATTGTTTGTAAGGTCAGTCATCATTAGCTCAAATTTGCTTTTGTAGGATGAAACTGTACTCATCATCTCGGCAATGCAGTTGGTTTTACCTTGTAGTTCAAGGTTCATATCACTTAGTTTACCTGTAAAATCAGCGAGAAATGCCAAATCGAACAACCACTTCTCATCTTCTAACGCTGCTTTCTCATCTCGCCTCTCCTTCAAAAAACTGTTTATTTCACTCAGCAAACTACTAAATCTCTGCAAAAATTTGTGCCTACTCAGCTACCTTACATCTGTGTGCAAAATTATATCCGGTGTCCCTTCTTCAAGAGTTAGATTGACAAGCCATCTTTGAAGTGATTTTCCAAGAATTGAGTTTACACTTTTAAAGGCTGTGTCCATAACAGTCTTTGTATTGAGTCTCTTGCTTGCCAGAACTTGCTGGTGAATGATGCAGTGGTAAGAAAGGAAACCAGGGAAGTCGTCATGCTGTCTACAGAGGACAATAAAACGATTAACCTGACCTGTCATTGATTTTACCACATCAGTAGTAATGGAAACAGGTTTATGTAATGGAACATTAGACTTTGTGGCAAAAGAATAGAAAGAAATATTTCCTGAACCGTAGTTCTCCCCTTTAAAAAAATCATTCCAAGTAGTTCTTCTTTGGCACTGAAATCTTCAGAAACCACAAAAGCTAGTAACTGGGCTGTCTCTCTGATGTCTGTAGATTCATCCAGTTGGAGGGAGAAAGCAACACAATTGGAAACTTCTTTCAACAACTGTTCAGTTATGTTTCCACATATCATTTCTATTTTCCGCACAGTGGTGTTTCTTGATTATTGAAGATTTTGAATAGTAGCTATGATCTCTTTCTTATTTTTAAATCCTTCAAAAAGATTATCAGCTATTTGATGAAACACTTTTTTACAAATTCTCCTTCAGTGAAAGGTTTGCATTTTTTAACAATCAGATTGCATATTTTCCCTTCAGATTCTGAATATAATCATATTATATTACAAGTGAATTTACATGCTTTTCACGTATAATTTCCTTATAGTCATATGAGATCGACCAAAAATCATCCCGCGATCGATGCGTTGGACATGCCTGCTCTTATGTATGAAAAATCCTGTACCTAATTCATAATCCTCATTCCCCTTTCTATAGACAACTATATTTGCCTGCTGGTTCGGTACCACCTGTCCCATCTGACCTCCTATGCTCAAACTAAAGCTGTCCTATATTTTGATATTTCTTTTGCAAACTGTCATGAATGAACCTGCCCTATATAGAGTCCTTATCTTCCTTGTAACCATTGATGTATGAATTCATTGATCAGTAATCTGTCAGACGACAGGTCCACAGTATCTTCCAAAACAGTTCCTCCACTTAATACGATCTAGATCTTTCTCCTTCAAATGAGAATATCCTCTTCTGTCCCCAATATCATCCAGCATCTTCTTACGTCTTCTTCCTCGTCTTCTGGTCACTTCTATCCGCCCCTCTATCTTTCCTTCAATAACTTCTTTTAGAAGGCAGTTACTGCGCAAGATATGACCAATCCAATTAGCCTTCCATTTTCTTATTTCGTGTAGGATATTCCTCTGCTCACTGACTCTAATTAACACTTCTTCATTTCACACATAATCGGTATGTATGAATATATTCATAAAAATTCCTTGCAAGTCTGTCACTGTACTGATTGACCTTACATGGCTCCTGGAAATACACTTTCTGAACATGTAATATGTTGCAACGTACCTTTCTTCTAGCCACTTGACATCAACAGATATGTAAGTGTATGACATTTTAGGTTCTCAAAGCAGTGAAGATTAAGACGTCGTCTGGGACGTCATACCGTGTAGTCTGGTGGACTATAAGACTACAGTGTATCATATCCCAAAAGACTGCAGTCTACAAATGTAAGAGTTCACATTGTTTCAAGACTTGCATTTGGGTATACACATACATTGCACTGAGTTCAGGGTGGGCTGAATTGAACACATATATGCTTGAATACTGCTGCTGCCTCTGTTTCTGAAGATGCAGGCATCAAGTTCCTCAAAAATTTGGTAATGTTGTACCAGACTACATGTTTTCACAAGCCAGAAGACAGCAGTCTAGTTAGTCAAGCCATGAGAACCTCAAATGTCACATGTCTATATCTGTATTTTATTCATTTTAGTACAACCATCATTTGTTTTTATGTTTGTTAATATTGTGAAAGTAATAAACAAAACCTTGATTATATTTCAATTGCAAAGATGCTAGGAGACTCAGTCTAAAGAATGACAAATGGCAAATGCTGTACATGTATAATATCGCATCAGATATGGTAGGATTTTTTGGATTATGAACTAGGCATATGTATCCATGTTCATCATTCATGAACCTCCTACCATATCTCATTTGATGCTACACAGTATTAATAGTTGTTTCTAAAAGTAATCAAGTAACCATTTATGAATTATTGGTATAAATAAGAAGTATGTTTTTAGAAACAATGAGAAAGGTGGTGATGATGACTTGATGTTAACAAAATTATGAATATGATTTTTTTTTCCTTTCATTTATTGATTTTCTTTGTGGAGTGTAGTAGAAGAAATTATCTGCAACATGAAATGTAACTAAACATTGCAGAAGTTGGTGCTAGGAATGAGAGGCGGGGGTGTGCTTTGAACTGCAACAGAACTCCAGGGTTCGAGATCATCCACGGGCTTCTTGACAGGCTCATGCAGTTGTTGGAAATACCAAGAAGTAGCAACAAAGATATGACTGGCTATTACCTACAAGCTGTTGATGGTATGTAGTTCATAACTCTATTTAAGAAAATGTTGAGATAGTAGTTTTGACAAATATGTTTGTAAAAAGGTTATCAAGCTTTGCAAAATATATTGTCACGTGTTGGGTGTATAACACACGACAAGTAACTTTATGCCGTATTGAATATAGCGAATTTATTCCAGTCACTCTTAAAAACACACAATTTACATTCTCACAATTACTACCATCGGCAGTATCACAAATATTCCTCCTTTTGTTACTGCCATGCAATCGATATAACCCGGCTCAGCGACTGCTAACTGACAGGTAACTCTAGTAACTCACTACTCACTCACTCGTAACTGGCTCAGTCCTCACTCACTAATCACTCGCTACTGACTGAATAGCGTTCGCTGCTCCTTATTAGCCTCTGCACGGACAGCACAGAAAACAGTTACGTGATAGGTACCACTGTTGCCGGACGCCATGTTTACAGGTGTTGCTAGCAACGCTGTTGGGAGTTGTTTATGGCTGGGTAATAACCACGGTATTCCTTGTTGCGTGACGCCATGTTTACCGGTGTTGCTAGCAATGCTGTCGAGAGTTGTCTCCTGCTGCGTAGCAACCGCGGTAAATCTTGGTAACAACACAGCCGCTCCTCTGCCACCGCGGGGGAGGGTGGTGCCCACCGAGCGTTGTGTACTGGTGGAAGGAGTGATGTCACTTGCGAAACCACAGAGTTCACGTGACCCCTACTTCCCGTTGCGCCATCCACGTCGCAATATTCTCGTATGAAATTTCAGTACTTGCTGTAGCTATTCAAAGTTACATCATGGCATGTAGCCATGATGAAGAAAATGATAAACTTTCCTGACCCATTACATACTTCATTAGATTATGGTGCTGAGATGGTTATGGAGAACCATTTGCCCTGTTCAATACATGTTTAATTACCTTTATTCTGTTTCCTTCCAGATCCTGCATACTTCCCACAACGTTGTGCTGAGGTAGTTGCTAATGGTCAAGTGATTGGCATAATGGGTGTTCTGCACCCAGATGTTATTATGAAGTTTGAGTTGACACATCCAGTTGCTTGTTTGGAAATCAACATTGAGCCATTTGTCTAGTTCTTCAGACTGTATATTAAAAACTGAAGGAAGAACTTATTAAACAAGATTGCCTGTTTCTGCAGGATGTATTCATGGCTAAATTCTCCTGCCAGTCACATCATCTCTCTGTAAGTTCCATCTTTCTGTTTACTGTGTCATAGCTTACACAAGGATGCATTTTCTGTCACATAAAATGTATAGGATGATTATTGTGATGAAGTGGGAAGAATGTGGAAGTTGTTGCTCATTTAAATTTGTTGTAGCATTTACCAGAAGAGAGAAAAATCTCAATCAAAAGTGCTGACCTGTGGGCTGAAATTGAACTTGAGAATTTCAAAGCATAAACCAGAATGCTAACCCCTTTACTGTATGTAAGAGTGAGATTTTTATGATAAAAGTATGTCAATGCTGTAGCTATCCAAGATATACAAAATTTAATTGGTACTGGATTTAAATATTTTACAAAATATGCTTTACTGTATATTTTTTTTTTTTTTCTGGAAGCAGTTTAGTTGCCCTCGAAGAGAAGGGACATGACAAGTTATCACAGGGTACTGACTTAAGACCTCTGCTTAGAGAGTTCAGCTTGATACATGGAAAGAAGATGGAAATTTTAATTAAAATAGGATGAATGCAAAGTTCCATCATGACAGTTATTGACTGTAGTGTCACAAAGTAATCATATACATATGCTGTCTGGAAGCCTGACTGTTGAAATCTAATGCTTGAGTGGGGAGAGAGAACCATTGGAAATCTTTAACCCAAAAGTTTCTTACAAAGGTAGTGGAAAATTAGGTTACTTGAATTCACAAGGAAACTGGTTTCATAGTTGACCCATCAAGAGGAGTAATTTTTATTTATTGCATGTTTTATCTTGAAACTGATGATTAGCAAAAGGATGTTATGGCAAGTACGATGCACTGAACATGCACAGACTTTATGGACTTTGGTGTAATAGGATGCTAAACTTGTGTCACTGTAAATTAAATACTTAGAAATTTTCTCTTTGACACGTCAGATAATAAAGCCTTCATGGATGCATAAATTGAACATAAATCTAATTTGTGGTTACTCACTTCTTCACTAAAATTATAGTATATTTAGAACTAACTTGAAGTGTACCATCTTCTGGGTTGTAAAGCCGTTTAGTCTGGTAAGAGTTCACCAGTGTTTTGGAGGCATGCACTGCTGTCATCTTCCAAGATCAAAAAGTGAGCCTAGCAAGTAGCCAGCAAGAAGCATGCCACATGATGGAAAATGTTGACTTTGCTTACATTAGTGTGAAACTGTCGCATATTTAAGAGTTTTGTGGAACTAATCTAAAGTCAGAAGGAAAGAGACCACTGGGAAAACCGAGGCGTGGGTGGGTGTACAATATTAAAATGGATCTTAGAGAGATAGGATGGTATGGATTGGATTGATCTGGCTTAGGATAGGGACCAGTGGAGGGCTCTTTTGAACATGGTAATGAATTCCATAAAATGCTGGGAAATTTTTGAGTAGCTGCACAATTGGCAGCTTCCCAAGAGTGGAATTAATTTGCTAACATAATGTCTCAGTTTTAGTGACTGTAGATGGGTGTGATGGATTGATGACCAGATTTGTTTGACTCTTTGATAAAGCATATGACTACACTTTACATTTCACTGTTACACCCAAACTGATGTCCAGTCATGTCTTCATTGCTGTTGCTTGGTAACGGCTTCCAACAATGGACATTCCTCTTCCTCTGGGTTCCCAAACTGTCCCCAGCCTCAGCTACATGCTTCTTACAGCAGCAGCTCACAACAACTGAACCCCCATTGTTATCTAACTTGCTCGCTCACTGTCTGACTGCTGAATTGCTGCTGGCTTTTGCGAGGACAGCGATTCTTGGTTCCAACTAACTTATCATGCTTATAACACCAAGGCATGAACTGCATAGAAAACACCACTTCCATTATTGCTGTATTCTCTTGTTGCCATGAAATCATGCAAGTTTGCATAGTCATTACTTAGCAAGGGCTGTTGTATAGTTGCTTATTTTTGGGTTGTTGCCTAGCAACAGGTGTACATGCTGCAATAATGAACTTGGAGTGCAACCTAAATATAACAAGAATTTATACGTTTCATAAAAGTGCTCATTGCATTGATTGCTAGTGATATCTGAAAATGTTCAAAGTGCATAATCTTTAGGTCTATCTCCTAACTTCAAATTACGTATAGTACTCTGTGTTACTACGGTTTAAAAATGACTGCTGCTTTATTTATTCCCTTTGGCGTGTTCACATTTGGAAGTTACAAAAATGTAACTTATTTGAAATCTGTGACTCCATGCATTATCTGAGATAAAGCTCAAACGCATTGATTACAAGAAAATATATTTATTACAGAAATAGAACAGATATTTGAAGTTTGCATAACACAAGACACTCATACAAATATTGTATTAAATATCTGGACCAAAATCTGCTTCAGTGTTTTTGTAAAACATGAAAAGTAACATGTAACAGATGTCTGTGTTTTTCTCTTTTCTCTGCGTAAACCTTTTAACCAATACAGTAACATCCCTTCTATATGGCGTGTAAGGGTATGAGAATAAACTCCATGGCCTGTAGTCCACAAGCAGACTATACCGACTGAATGACCGCAGCTTGTCAGTGAAGTTAGTTCCAACTTTTGCAGATAGAGGGTGTCACGTGGTCAGCACAACAGCTCCCCATGTCCATTAATCTCTGTTTTCTAGACTGGAGCCACTGTTTCCTTGAAATAGCTCCTTAATTATCCTCACAAGGCTGAGTGGACCCCATTCCAGACCCACTACTACTCAGAAAATCTGGCAGTGCCGGGAATTGAACCCGAGACCTCTGGATGTGTACGGAAGAACTCTGACCACTAGACCACAGAGGCAGTAGGGTATGAGAATAGTTCAGTATCAAACAAATGCTACTGGAAATATGTTTGTAATCACCTCCTCGTATCATTTCAGTGTTCAATGACACTGATCCTTGTGTCTCTTTTTGGTGCTTCTCCTTTAACTGTTGATTTTGCCTTTGAAATCAGATCGCTTTTGAATGACCTGTACTAGAACAGGTGGGCATGATTTTGTAAGGTGTTTTTCTTCAGAAATTATGTTCCAGACTTTACAGTTTTAACAAGTGTTGATGCATGTGATCAACTTTCCTTAGCAGCTGGAATATGATCTCATTAATTTCCTTTGGAGTGTGAATAAGTTACTGAGTGAAGAGTACTGCATTCAGTGAAATTTTGGAGGAGCATGCTGCCATCATTTTCAGGATTGAAGATAATCCAAGCAAGTAAGCAACAAGAAACAGGCAGCAGGCTTTTCTTGGGTTGTGGCAATGTAGGAGTATCTAATGACTCATACTGAGGTTGTAGTTCAGTGAAATTATCTACCACATGTTTTGTTTCCATCTTATACTTTGTTTGGTCTGTTGTGCTCTCTGTTGTCTGCTTGTGATGTACTTATACTACTTTAATAACTAACATAATAGCTTTCACTCTCTGAGGAATTACTATCAACTCTGTTTCCCAGCCATCTAACACATTAGCTTTGAACAATATGATTTGACACTACCTTCTGACCATATGCATTCTTTGATCTATTTACAAAACTAACATTAGCTGTGCAGGGGAACAAATGAGCTTATTGTAACTCAGAGGAATTAAAAGGAGCTTTTGCAGTTGGTGAATAATGGTAATAATTACTTTCCTAAGAGGTCATCGAGAAATCACATTTCATCAGGAGCTGTCAACAAAAAATTAAACATCTGTTATACTGATATTCTCAGGAAAAAACAAATTCATTGGCTTGCAGAAATTGCCATACCTTTACCAAGCAAAATATTTAAAAGGTATAAGAATTGATCAGTTGCGCAGATTGAAGTTAAACGTATTAGGAAAAAGCAGAATAACAGTAACATTATACCCAATGAAAGTAATACAGTATATTAATATAGTTTCACGATACAGTACACACACAGTGCATTTTCAACAGCCACACATACCTGCTGCCATCTAGTGAGAAAAGTATTAACACAGAATATTTCAGTTTCTTACTAGCACATGAATAGCAGATGTATGTTGAAAATAGGATCTAGTAACTTTTTAGTGATTACATAATGGTATAGGGGGTACGCGGTAGCGTAGTTGATTGAGGGGCTATGCTAAAAGCTGGAAGGTCGCGGGTTCAAGTCCCGATGAGGTCATTGGATTTTTTCAGTTGACCTAATCCTCCTATCCACACCAGTCCCTGGGGTTTACTCAACCTCTAACAGAAATTAGCACCAGCAATTAATTAATTAATTAATTTTCCTAGGGAGTAAAGCCCAGCCGGCGTGTAAGGCTGACAACCTTACTGCCATCTTTGAGCCGATTGTCTAGATAATGTGGGAGCCTCAATGTCGCACAACCCTATGGGCCAGTATTAAGTGCTTTGTATTTCTAATTTTTAAGTTAAGGACCACAAATATAAGAAAAGAAGGCCTAAAACAGTAAATGATATTTTACATGTATTGGCTTTCCTGTACTACTATCAAGTTCAGAGTACAAATTCCTCCTCATTTTACCACTTTGTTGTCTTTTGATTCTGAGCTAACCATTTATAATGTTCCACAAACAAAATTATTGAAGTACCATGGAAATGTATAAACAAAATATGTTTCTTCTTAGAAGGCTGTGTGGAAATTGTCTTGCAGGTCTTGTCCTCATGATTTCCTTGCTGGAAGACATGTTTGGTTAGACAACATAGTCCTTGTGTTGTTCCTTGTATTATCTGAGCTAGACATAACTGACTGTTGACTGTAGGGTCATGTGAAGGGCACTGATTATGAAGTGAGTAATTATTAACCAGGAGGTTGAGAGAAGAGCACAGAAGTATCATAAATTTTACATAACCTGTATCTAATATGTAGTTTGGAAATTTATGGTTTAAATGCATTGTCCACAGTGACCAAATACTGCACCTAGCTCAAACTTGGTGTAAAATTTGATAAAATAGAAGAGCTGATAAACATCCACACATACGTCCCTGTATCATCAGGGAAGCCATTGAAGTAGTCAGACACCATCTCAACTACAACTGCAAGGTTAAATATGAACTGGAGTGTAGTCTCATGCTTTTTCTCCAAGTTTTCTACTTAACTGCAAGGCCCCTTTCTATTGCACAGTATATCTCTCTTTTTTCCCCTTTCTTTCTCATTCACACGCACACACATACATAAGCCTTACTTATTTCCATTACAAGACTTGTGTATCAGGCTGTTCCCTTCCTATTGGACAGCACAACATCCACAACCCCACCGTTACTCCCATTCTGAGGTGCTGTCAGAAAGTTCCCAGACTGCTTTTGTAACTGCCTCAGTGAAAGAAGATGAGAAGGGAAGCCAAGGTCACACTTCTGCAAGCCTATTGCATCAGTCTGTCACATGGTACTGCACTGTGAACATGCATTGTTTTTACAGGAGTGCTTTTTCAACTTCATGTTTTGTTTAGTCTGCGATGCCTGGCAAAAATGTCTACATCAAGATTTGCATGAAACTTGGTAAATCTGCTACCAAAGCCCTTGAAAGGCTTCATGAGGCTTTTGGAGAACACTTTTTTAAGCCAGACAGCAGTTTGTGATTGGCTTTCACATTTCAAGGCCTGTGAAATGTTATTTGAAGATGATGAACGTTCAGGGCAACCAAGCACCAGCAAAATGCTAGAAAATGTTGAAGAAATTTGAGAACTGATCCACGAAGACTGTTGCTGTGCAATCCATGAGCTCACAGACACTGTTGGGATCAGTTATGGAGTTTGCCAGGAGATGTTAACAGAAAATTTGAACATGCACTGCACTGCTGCAAAGTTTGTAACCTAACTCTTGGTAAATGATCAAAAGCAGCAGCATGTAAACATGTGCCTTGAGGTACAAGAGAAGGCTAACAAGAATCCAACTTTTACAACTATCTCTAGAATCATAACAGGTAACGAAAGTTGTATTTACAATTATGATCCAAAAACAAAGCAACAGTCATCGCAGTTTAAGAGCCGACAATCACCAACAGCAAAAATGGTGTGG